GTCCAGGGCCTCGAGTCGCCGAAAGACCGCACCAGGACGCCCAAGGTAGGCCCAAGACGGCCCGAGAGGCTCCCCAAGGCACTCCACGACGCTTCAAGACGCCTCTCCACAGCGCTTGAAGAGGCCGAAATCGTCAATTTTACGAAGGTTTTCGAACGATTTTGGCCTTCCAGCCTTTTCGGCTGTCCGACGTTCCAAGACGGCTCAATAGGCCCCCAAGAGCGCCCCAAGACGGCCCAAGAGGGCCCCAAGACGGTCCCAGAGTCGCCCAAGACAGCCCAACAGAGCCCCAAGACAGCCCCAAGATGCGCCCAAGAGGGGGACCACGACTCCAAAATTCGACCCTCCCGCTTGAAGAGTGCCCCAGGAGGCCCCAAGGAGCCCCCAAGAGGCCCCAGGAGGCCCCCAAGAGGCACCCAGGAGGCCCAAACGAGGCCTAAAGAGGCCACAAAACAGCCCCGAGGAGGCCCCACAACGGTCCCAAAACGGCTACCGAGAAGCTGCGAAACTGCCTTCACGACGTCCCCGACATGCCAACCACGAGATCCAAACCAACACCCATGAGGCCTCTGACCCACCACCCAGGGCACGGTGGCGGGAGCAGTGACAGCACTTGTGCACAGCATGTTCCGGCGGGAGCCTTCCGGAACACGCTGCAGGAGGAGGAGGAAGATCAGGAGGAGAGAGAGCTGGAGTGGGAGGAGGAGGAGGGGGACGAGGAGGAGGAAGAGGCCTCCAAGACAGCTCCAAGATAGCCGAAGAGGCTTCCAAGAGGGCCCTGGGCGGCCCACGAGGGCCCCAAGGCGGTGCCTGAGGCGCCCAAGAAGGCCCGAGAGGGCCCCAAGACGGCCCCAAGAGAGGCCCAAGAAGGGAAACACGAACTGAGAATCCGAGCTTTCTACCCCGAGAGGTTCTCGGGAAGTCCCAAGAGGCCCCCAATCGGATCCAAGAGGCCCCCAAGAAGCTCCCAAGAGGGCCGACGAGGTTCCAAGAGATCTCCCAAGGTGGCCCCAAGAGGCACAACTCATTGTTTTACGATTGGGCTTTGACGGGTTTTAATTTTTTCTGCCTTTTGGCATCCCGATGCTCCAAGACGGCCCAAGAGGCTTCCAATACCGCTCCCAATATAGAGGAAGAGGCCTCCAAGAGGGCCCCAAGACGGCCCGCGAGGGCCCCAAGACGGTGCTTGAGGCGCCCAAGACGGCCCGAGAGGGTCCCAAGAGCTCCAAGAGAGGCCCAAGAGGGGGAACGCGACCCAACAGCAGAGCGTTCCCCCCAAAGGGCCCACAGGAGGCCGCAAGAGGACCCCAAAAGCTTCCCGAGGGCCCAAAAGGCCCCTAGGAGACGTCCAAGAGGTTTTAAAATAGCCGCAGAGTGCCCTCGATGCGTCAAAACTGCTTCCAGGAGGCCCCCGGGATGCTTCCGGATTGCCTCAATCTGGCCGCAGGCGGCCTCAAGTCGGGCCTCCACGCAGCCAAGACGGCCAATGACGGCTTCAGATTGCAGAACCGATGCCCCCAAGGGACCCTCAGACGCCCCCCCAAGAGGCACCCAAGAGGTGCCTCCAACAGCCAGTTGACGAAGCATGCGGAACACCCCAGAAGCTCCTCAGATGCCGTCGCGCGCCTGTGCTTGATAGCGTTGTCCAAGATCGTCCAGCGCCCCCCCGACCTGGGCTAGAACCTGAGCGCGCGCGAAGCGCGCGCGATGGTTCTAGTATATATATATATATATATATTATATATATATCCATATCCCCCCCCCGCTGGGGCACCAGGGCGTCGGTTCCCAGGCAGTGGATATGGATACATCCCCGCCTCGCACCACAGACCAAAAGACGGCATGGGTGCAGTCCTCCAGAGGTCCGCGCGGATCTCTTGGGTCTCCTCGCCGGGAGGCGCCTCCGGCACCGGCCTCCGCGTGCCCTCCGCGCGCCGGGGAAGGGGCGTGGCGCGGCGTGGGCCCCGCGCCGCCCCGAGAAGTCAGCGAGGACCTCCGGAGGTTTGCACGCTGTTCGTTTCTAATTCTTCGAGGTCTTCGACTTTTTTGGGGGGGGCCAAGATCCTTTCATTTCTAGCTCTTCTATCCTGGGCCTCTTCCCGGCCACTAGGGGGCGAGAAACAAACAGAAACGAGCACAATCAGAAATGAGCACGATTTGAAAGGAACGACGTCTATGCTTATGTATCCCGTTGAGGGAAAAATTAAGCAACACTCCCCCCTCCCCCCCAATTCAAAGTTGGCACGTGTACGCATCACTGGTCCGACACTCAAATTCGGGAGATCCGATCCCAACATTGCATTCGGGGAGGAGGGGGGAGGGAATTCACACCATATGTTACGCTTGAGTGTTGCTTAATTTGTTTCCGACACATGTCTGTCCTGCTCTTCTGAAGGTGCTCGGTGTTCCTGAGGCAGTTCCGTGGGGCCCCCCGGCAGAACGTGTCAGCCTAGTCTTCTCGAGAATGCAATCGTCCCCGATTCGTAGGCTGACCCTTCCAGCTCAAGGGTGCCCCTGTGCCCCGTGCCTCGCGACCCATGCCTCCATTATTAGGGGAACAAAAAGTGACATAAACATACAAACACA